ACACACACACACACACACACACACACACACACACACACACACACACAGTGAGCCAGCCCAAACAGGGGATTCAGCCAGGGTACAAAACCCAGCAGGAAGAGTCAAGACTCCCCCACAAGCACGGATGTCGCAGAAAGGAAAAAGAGAGAGAGACAGAGAGAGAGAGAGACAGACAGACAGAAGGAGAACGACTTAAAAGACTGTAATGATTTCACAAAGAGTCTAATAGCTCAATACGGTTTCATTGTCTTTGCTTCAAGTGCCCATTAAGCCATTACACAAATGCAGCTGTCAATGTCCTGCTTACACGACAACACAACCCCTTTTATAGTATCTGCACAGTGTATCTGTGTGTGTGCGTGTGTGTGTGTGTGTGTGTGTGTGTGTGTGTGTGTGTACAGTATGTGTTATGGATGATCCACGGATGATCTAGTGGGTAAAATGGATTATGAGTGAGTGTAAGTGGATGAAAGAAGGTCTTTGTGTCGTTAAGAGCAGCTTTAACTGGATAGAAACAGCCAAGGGCTGCAAGGCATTTACATCACACACACACACACACACACACACACACACACACACACAGATGGGGGTGAGGAAAAATAGAGCAGTGACCCAAGCATCCATAAGGTCAGACAGACAGAGAAAGTCTTTGACCGAGGGGTATAGAGTGGGGGTAGTGTCCGTGGGGAGGTGCGTGTGTGTGTGTGTGTGCGTGCGTGCGTGCGTGTGTGTGTGGGGGAAGTGGGCCTGGTGAGATGAGTCAGACAGTGATGTGATACGCTGGTACTCGCTGTCACTGGTCAGATGGTCAGATGACTAACTGAGTATAATAATAACGATTTCAAACAACCTACACACACATTACGAAGCCCTAATGCTGTGTTGAATACTAAGCTTGAGCAACAGTCATGTGGACACACGTGTGTTTGCTTCACTTTCGTGCTCCAACTTCTCTCTGCTGTCTGTGGCTTTTCCTGTGCGTCCGTCTGTCTTCACCCGTTTGCACGACAGCCAAAAACAGAGGCCCCAGTTCCTCTGTTATTTACTCAATCCACCGGCCTCTCCGCCTCCATGTGACGCGTCGCCCTCCGCCCACCAGCGATCGCCATGGCAATCGCACCGCAGCGCGGGGTGAAATATCACCCAACTCTCCGTGACCCTCCGCTATCACAAGGTAAACACCGAAATGTCACTGGCCCTCCGAAGGTCACATGGTGCACGCTGGGAACGTAGGCGGTCCTCAGGTCAGGCGCTGCCGGTGACTAACATTGGAGGGGAAAATGCTAAATGGTCATTTACATTCGGGATCAAAGCGCTTAGCATTAAACAAGGGCATCGCTGCTGGCAGGTTTGTGCGACCGATGCAAATTGAACAGTTAAATGCTCTGACTGAACGGGAGAAAAAGGGTCCAACTGCTCTGTCAAGGCGGCGGGCTGCGGATACACTTGTTTGAACACGACCTTTCGAATTCTATTGAAACAAGGAAGCGTGACGAAACAGGTCGAGCTGCACAACGTACAGGCACAATGAACGATTAGAACAACAACCTTTTTTATGTTTGCCTTTTGAAAGGACTTTGTTAGTTGTTTTCTTTTTGGTGGATGTTTTTCTGTTATTGAAAACAGAAAGAAAATGAATTTGGGAAAATATTGATATTTATATTTGATATTAATGATGCTGAATGATGTTTTATTGTGGCAATAATTCATTTATTTTAGTAGTTTGCTTATAAACATCATAAGAACAGCTGTATTATGACATTTGGTATCGATCGGGTATCAGATTTTACCAAGCCCAATTTGTAATGATGATTTCCCTTATGGATTATGGTTCTTATTGAATCTTGGTTCCAATTCCTGGCACAGTATTTATTCATAAAAAACAAACAGGGTATCTGGAAGGAACATTTCATTAGATTTAGGGCGCCTTGACCAGCGGTTTGTGGATCAAGATGGGGTATTTTGAGACTTTTTTCAGTAAAAAGGTAAAACAAAGAGAAAAAAAGATGCCGTCTATCTGGCCACGCTCAAGGTAAACGTTTACTCTTGTGATTACTTGAGTTGGAAATACTAACATGAGCTAATTATGAGGTATTATAACTATGACTGTGGACATCCAAAATGTCCACAGTCATAGTTATAATATCCAAAAAATTCCAAAATCCAAAAAATTCTTGCACTATGCTGAGGGATGCCGCGATATTGAAAACCCAGATTTACAGTCCACGTGTGATCTTTAGAGTCTGAACAAAAAACCCACGTTGAAATAATATGTCGCTGCAGCCATGGCTAGTGGGAGGGTCTGCAGCTTATCAACAGTGAAGCTGGGCTAATATTTAGCATAAGGATAGGCTTTGAATCAGTGTGCAACTTGTGAGGGCTTCTCTATGTGACCAATCAGCCTGTCAGCCTCAGGGCACACACACACACACACACACACACACACACACACACACACACACAC